ATCACTGGCATCCATTGTCCTCATTGGCATCTTTAAACCTCTTTATCTTGCTAAATCTCACCTACAGATTTTTTTCCTTACTGCACTACTCCTCCAGTCTCTTGGATGGTTTAATCTCTCCTTTCACTTTATCACCTTTTGCCCAAGTATAGACACTGAGAAAATACTTGTGTTTGCTCAATCAAAATTTGCCAAACCTCAATTAGTGCATCCTTGTAAGAAAAGAAGTTGTTAAGATGTATCTCGATTTACTTGATACATTAAACCCACAGAATTCCTTGTGTTTTCTAAGATGTTCTCATGTTAGAGAACATTCATTCTTAGTTCTAGTAGAAAGTGAAGTTGGTAATTCAGGGATCAAAACTTTGATGCCATTTTCTGCCAGAGCAGTGAGTTTGGTACTGTGCATTCTCTGTTGGGAAAACCACAGACAGCAGACCCTTGCCTTTGCCTTCAAATTTCCACTTGAAAAATCCAGTAAGGGCAGCAAACATTCCTTTTGGGTCAGTATGTTTGCCACTGTGGAAAATAATTAACTGCTTCAAACTTACTCTTCTTAGTCTTGGTATGCACTTTGGGGCCTGTGGAGTGAGCCAAGGTGTCAGTGGTAGGATGTATTAGATCCATGTGCCAAGGAAAAGGCTGTAGCAAGACAGATAAAGAGCAGACTAGGGATGGAATGTTATTTATGCTTTCCTGCTCCAGTCTCCTCAGGCTAAAGGACCTATCCACACAGAGGTTATTGTGGTGTGAAGTGTAAGTAGCAAAAAAATGGCAAAAGCTGATGTGACACCTGGGTACCCCTTGTCACAGGTCACTGACTCACACATCTCAGTGCTACTTTCATCATCTGTGATTTTGCCTCTGTGCTTCACTGAGTAGTTTGAAATCTGTGCTCCTTGTAGCACTCAAAGCACTAGCAGCATCCTGCACCAGCCCTACACCAGCCCAGACAGGGCAAAAGTGTGCGAAAGCTAATCCTGGGAGGAGCTCCAAAATTCCTTAATGTCAGCCTTGTGTTGAGCATAATTCCATCCAAAAGTTTCAGAGATCAACACATGCATTATTTTAAAAAAAGCTAAAGACTTGGAGAACATGTAATAAACACAACTGAATAGACAAGACACCAAGTGAGGATATCTTGAAGGATATCTAGAAAAGGCTAATTTTGCTGTGTACTCAGAGGTTGGAACTTACATCCAGATGATATGGATACAACTCTAGGTTGTGAAAAGAAAATAATACCATAGGCATATGTTCAGCCTTATATGAAACTTGCTGTTTGCTTTTCCATTCAAAACTCTGAAGGGACATGGAAACCAGCATGGGAATGTATAAATTCTGGGATTTCTGTTTGGCTTGTTTCTGTTTTAATGCCTGAAATGGTAATTTTGTCTTCTATTTTTAGGACAGTTTTTCCACCCCATTGACTTCACCATACTTGAAATTTATCCTGGGGAGGATCCCAAGAAACCAGATGCCACAATGATTGTTAAAAACAATGAACTGACAGTAACAAGGTACATAATAATTAAGTCCCTAGCAAAGACATAGGCAAGATTGCCTTGTCCAGGTGCACTTCCTGCCTCAGTGCTCCCATGGCTGTGTTTTCCCTTTCAGGGGCTGGCAGAAGGATTACAGAGGAGATCCTGTCCATGGCGTTGATGTTCCTTGCTGGTTTGTCCATGACAATGGAGCTGGGCTGATAGATGGGGTTCATACAGACTATGTTGTCTCCAGTCTGTTTTAAGCAACTACAACCTCCTCCAAATTCCTGGGTAGAGAGAATATTTCTCTGAAAGAACAGTATTTTTCAATGCTTATGAACTACTAAAATAGGTGAGGGTAACATTTTTGGCAAGGACCAAGCATGTTAGATTCTCATAGTGAGTTTTACTGAGTGTTTGATTAAATCTTCAGTACAAGACAGCTATTCTGCTTGTGCACAGATATCCCTCATCCCCCGAAGCGTCCTCTTCATCCGGTTTAAAATTCTGACTTAAACTGTTACTTTGTAAAAGAGAACAGAAACTTTCTATCCAAGTTTAAATCAATAACTGAGTGTTGGGTGATTTGAATAAAAGCATCAGTACCCAGTGCCTTGTTCTGTTATTCCAACAGCTATCCATGTTTTCATTCTGGTTTCACAAAGCCCAGGCTGCCAGATGGCTATGAAACTGAGCACAAGAGGACAGCTGACAGCCCAGCCCAGATTTCAGGATGATTCCATGGTACTTCACCATCTCTGGATGTTTTTAAGATGAGACTAGAGATTTGTTGTCTGAATATACAACTTAGTGCCATGGTCTAGTAACCACGGTAGGGTTGGACTTGATAATCTTGGATGTCTTTTCCAACCCAGTTGTTTGCTGGTGCAGTGTCAGCTTGTGAAGTGGCTGTTAGCATCCAGGACTTCTGTATTTTAGTGTTTTAATTTGAACTTAACATTTGAATGCCTAAATCTTGGTAAACTAATGAAATACCACAGTTGCAAGCAGCACTTACTTGTAAGTAATAATAGCTCTTTTGGACTGCATCTGTTTTGTGCAAGACCCTCCCTCTGGTCCTATAACAGAATTTATGTATGTATTCAGGGAAAGAAGTATTCCAGTTATTTATATATTCATTTTGTCCGCAAGAAATCATAAGCAATTACTTCTAAAGCAAAAACCCTCAGCAATATTTCTTATTGCTACAAGAATTCTTCTAATCAAATCAGCCACAACAAGGCAGACACCAGAAAACTCCCATCCAACTTTCTGCCAAGGAGAGTGGGAAACCAGAATGCAGACACATGTGAGGAATGAGGAGTGTAGTGGGAAAAACAGACCTGACATAAGATGTGATGGGTTAAGTTGGAAGAAGAAGGGTAGTAGTGAACAAAAATGGAACAGAAAAAGAGGAAAAAATGGAGAAAAAATTGGCTTGCTGTTAAATTTATAGGAGAGATGGGTATCTTCCAGGAACAAAATCTTTTTTTAGAAGCAGAAGTTTTGTAGAAGAAAAAAAATGAGGAGGGGAAGGTGTGTCACCACAGTGGCTACATATCTCTGCCTGCTAAATGCAGACAAAAATGGTGAAAGAAAACAATAGTTCCTACAGAAGGTTATAAGTTACTGAAAAATGAGGAAAGCAGGGAGAGGACAGAAAGGAGAGAGAGAAAACCAAAACATTGGAGTTCACACCATTAACATGCCACAGTACTGAGCAGCAGACCTTGGCCTACCTGGCTGGTGGAGTTTGGGCACAAGGCAATGCTGGGCACAGCCTCAGCCAGGGCTTTCCTGGTTCATTTATGGGGGTGAGGCAAATCCCTGGATGTGGCAGGAGCCTCGTGACCAGAGGTTGACCTCAGGGTCTCTAGTCTGCTTTTGCATGACTCCCGTTGAAGATTCCTGCAAGGTAGGAGGTAATGGCAAATGTAGCTAAAGGTGACAGGAGGGCAGAGAAGCAGCAGAGAGATGCTTACAGATAGATACAATTTTAGTCCTACTGCCAACTGGTACAGTGCTGGTTGAAAGTGAAATGTGAGAGATCTACACTGTGAGGGGTGTATATATCTGTTATATATACACAGATACAGCCTGTGCCTTCAGCACTGGAATTAGAAGTTATAGAATGCAAAATATTCATTACTGTGTCTGCCTTGAGCTTCTTGAGCAAGGGAAAGGAGTGTAGAAATCAGAAACCTGTCAGGACTCAGTCTGGGGCTTGGAAAATGCAGGAGGAGAGTGACTGAACAATAAATTCAGGCAGAGGAGGAGTGGTGCGGCACATGCTATGGGAATGGGAAGCACAGAGGCGGAGGGGAAGCAGCACTGCAGGAAGGCTCGGGGAGCTCAGCAGCCAGGCACACCAGCGACAGCGGGGACAGAGAACCCTGCGGGAGCAGCTCCGGGCACAGACCCTCCCGCGGCACAGCCAGATTGGATCCAGCCCAGGGGACAGGGACAGCTTTGCAGAGAAGTTGTAGAAAGAGAGGGGAAAAAGACCTCAAGTATGTGCAATGTTGCTGTAGGGAAGGCTGGCAGCTGGTTTTCTTCCCAGCTGTCCAGGTTAGCAGGATCTGCTTGTTTGCAGCACGGGATCGCTGCAATGACAGGGCAGCAGGTTCCGGGGGGACCCTCGGGCACTGCAGTCGTTAGGGGGTGGGTTCGGAGAGCAGCTCTCCAGAGTGGCCAGAGTCTCACTTAAAGCAGAGGGGACAGGGTGAAAGCTGCCCTGGCATGACCCACTGCTCCCTGATCCAGTGCTGCTTGCTATCCCTGCGGTTGGCAGGTGGCTGTGGGAGGTGACATGTAGACACCCTATGCTGTAAGCAGGGAATTTTTAATTCGCAGCAAACCAAGGATCAACAGCATGTGATCCAAGTACCCAGTTCATTTATAATGAAACTGTCTTCTGCCTTCCAGACTGGTAAGCCTTTTTGATACAGTGAAGTGAGCAATCTGATGTTTCCAGCTTCCAAATTCCACATTGTTTGTTGTGTAATTTGTCCAGCAAAATCGGCACCCTCAAACCTGCACCTTGAAAGTACAAGGCAATAGATCTTGGCATCATGTCTGCATAGTTCTACAGAGTTTGCTTTAGATTGTTGACTTTGGCAAGAAACTGCTTCTTTTTCAGTACATTGCTCTAAAATAGTAAGGTTTTCCCAGTTATGTATTATTGGCAGGATAGAAAACAACTGTTAAATCACCTACAAAGCTGGCATAGTTATGGGTTAAAAGATTCATACAAACTGAAATTCTAAAACACAGAATAATTTTGGAATTAAGAGTTACAAAAAAAGCTGAAGACTGGAACTACAACTTGGATTCCATGGGCAGAGGCTTCTGTGTGTACGTTTACTCTGCAGTGTTACCTCTGTGCACAGCACGTTGGGTTTGAGTTGTTCATTATTTGCAAAACATCTTCCAATGTTTGCAAAATGTTGTATGAAGTAGTGCCAAGAAAAGCTGATAACTTTAGGGGTTGAAATGCTGCTTTTTGCAGCCAGTCAGAGGTCTGTGTCATCATCAGTCAGTGGCTGTTTTGCAGATATTTTTTTTTAGAGAGCCTCAGAGACTCTGAAACACCAAACAGGACCACAGCCAGTGAGGATTTCTGAAGTTCTAGAAATCTCTTGCTGTTTGTATGACACATTTGTTAGCCTGGATGATGGCACTACTGATTTTTATTTGGAAACTTAAGTCCATGTGTCCACATCAAACTGTGAGCTGACAATGTCAATTTTATTTAGTTCATTCACATAAATCTTCAACAACATAACCACATTGTGGATTAGAAACAATTTGCAAATAGCAAACAGGCAAGCATGCTCTCACCTTGAAAGTGTAAGTACTTCAAAGTAAAGTGTTTGCGACATTTATACATATAGTAGCAGTAAGGCTTTTACTGTGTGATTTTCTTGATGAAAGTATCAAAACTATTTGGAAGAGCTTCATTTGCATAATTTTCTTTCACAGAAAAATCTTTTCTAGGGAATTAGGCCATCTACTGACCAGCAGGAAACAGAGTCACTGGCTGACTCAAACATGTCATCTTCCTTGTGTAACCTGAAATGAAACCAAAAGAGGGAAAGTTGCGCTTTTCACTGCTAATCAAAGGGCAGGTGGCACCAGGAGTTGGAGGGTCTGTGTGAGGGCAGAGCTGGGGGCAGTGGGGATGGGCATAGCAAGCAGAACCTGCACACTCACAGCATTTCTTCAACATCACAGGCACCTACTAAAAGCAATTGAAGTGTAGCAAATTTTTCTCATGGCAAATCCAACCGAGGAAAGTGTAAATGAAGCAGTGGAACTTTACTTGGTTTGGCATTTTTTTATGCAATCTGTACCCCCAGGGTGTGATTATTTCCTCCAATGAAGTAGGAGCCTTGAGCCCTGTAGCATCACTTAACAAGCAACAAATTCAGGCCCTTAGGGAAAAATTCAAGTGCAAGTTCTTTACACCAAAGAGGTGTGTTCTTACAGACAACCACTCCCTCATTTCATTGCCTTTGGTCTCAGGTATTTATGCATAAAATATGTCTCAAAGCACACACATCCCTCATGCTCATCCCATATCTGTTACCTGGAAGATCTGTGCTCAGCTCCAGTCACGCTTAGGAGCCTTTCGTCAGCTCTCTGCTTGATGTTGGAATTATTGCCAAATTGTCCTTTTGAATAAAACTGACCTGAGCAACAGACACACAAATATTTAAAAATACAAACCAACTGAGTATTGCTGTCCATTTAATTCAAGTAGCAGCTCTAACACCAGGAGAGCAGCTCTTCTTCTCAGAAAACAAACAAAAGACAACATTTGGAAACTCCTTAGCAAGTTAATCAAGTTCCTGTGTTTCAGCTGTGATCTCCTGTTATCCCTAACACTCTCCACAGAGAGGTTCAGCCTTGCTCTCATGGGTTTGCGCACATTTTTTCCTTTGTGGTTTTGGAACACGCAGCCTCTCTGTTTGCCAAGTTTTTGAAACAGCTTCAACATTAGTCGACAAGGACTGTTGGAGCTGAGATGCTCAGGACCAGCTGGCTTTCATTTTCTAGCCCTGAGTGTTTACAATTGTATGTCTGTTATTTATAGTCCATTATTTGACATCAAATAAATTTGCTGCACAAACCATGTCCCTGTCGAGGTTAAGCCCAACTAATACTTTTGTCTTATTTTAATGTTTGCTAAGCCCCTGATGGGTTGTTTGGTTGTGCCACTGGTGAGTGGAACAGCACTGTGTTATGTTTCCAGGGTCAGACGTCCCCTCCTCACAGAGCAGGGTCTGGATTGCTGGGCAGTAAAAGCTGCTCTTAGATGTCTGTAAAGAATAAACTAAACTCAAAGTTTCTCTAGAAGTCCCCCAAAGCACCCCCAACACACTATATGCTCATTTCAAGAGCTTAGTTCCAAGACTATCCTTCCTGCATTCATCCATAATGATACATACCCAGAACTCCACTGACTTTGTCAGAAAAATGGTTGGTGTGCAAGAAGTACAGCCCAAGGAAATAATCTGGAGACCTGGCAAAGGTGACTTTCACTGTGACCGTAGCAGGCAGGGATGCTGTAACATGCCTTTCCTTTTCCATGGAGACTCTGAGCCTAGGAAGTAAATTATGGCATTATTTCCAAGAATATGAAGCATGAATATGTATTTAATTAACTGACATTAATTAATTAAAATAATTTACTTTTTGCCTGTTGTCCCTTTGCAGTTGTATTTTGCATGATTTCTTGGTGATTATTTTAAAACTAGAAAATATTAAGTAGCACATCTATTCTCTCAGTGCTGCATAACAGGTCTGGCAGGTACACCAACAGAGAAGGACTTTTTGCTGATGAATACACCTTATTATCCATAATGATAAGGAATGCTTGGATGGAAAAAAAAGAAGAGGAATATTTTCTCAGCATTTTAATGAGGAAACAGGTAGACTAGATAAAATAATTCAGTCTGATTAATGAACAAGTCAAATACTTTTTCTTGGATATTTCACAGGTTTTTTAGCTCCTGCCTTTCTCCTGACCCATTGATGCTCTGGTGACCCCAGGTGGGTGTGCAGAACACACACATCACTGTCACTTCTCTCCCTTGCAGAGCAGGTTTGACAAAGCCACCCCCACGTGCTGGTGTGCACAGCACTGTGGGTGCAAGGGCTAGGGAGCTGCTTCAAAGCAGGAGGAGCATTCCACTTGGCAGACAAATTATACAGGGGCATAAATCCAGCACGTTCTTGGCTCCATTTGGATCGCAAAAATGATTGAAAGCAGTTGTTGTAGGACTAGTTATTGTCTGGAGCTGCCTGTAAGGGAGGAGTAATGTGTGTCCTGTCTGCCCCAGGCCAACAGCAGGTCCTTGTGGAGGTTTATTCCAGCATATAAAAAAAGCTGCTGGAAGCAACTACACGCAGCTCTTGCTTGTGGTAGCAAAGGATCCTGCTCTAATTAGTCTGACAAATAATGTCTACTTTTAAAGTACCCCTTCTCCTACAGTGGGCATTTAGTTACAGGCAGTATTCCAACACTTTATGCTTTCCCATAAAAAATGTCAGCCACCCAGATGGGAGTTATGGCTAAAACCGAGGAGAAAGAAAACTCCAGCCTGTGTGGAGCCAACTGCTGTATAAAAGGGACAGTAAATGTCAAAGCCATCACTTCGCAGCACTCGCTGGAGGAACACACAGTGCCTGGTGGTGGCACTGGGGCTGCCACGCGTCGCAGCAGGTCCTTCTCTTCAGAACATAAACACATGTTGTGCCTCTGACTGCTGGGGCAGCTGGTTTGATTCTCTTTACTCAGGCAAGGAGATTTAAAATCAAACTTGTTTTGCCCTTCATGCTTGAAGTGGAGGATTATGAAGGTACCCTGCTGCTGCTCACAGTGAGTTGCTTACAGGATAAGGACATTTGGAAGTACTTACTTCAGGTAAATGGGAAAGTGAAGGCCTGGATGAACAAAGATCTGACACATTTCCACATTTAGGAAAGCCCAGAGTGATGTTTCTTACCCCTGGATGGTGGAGGTGGCTGACTTCATCCATGAGAGCCGAGTGCTCCTGTTATTGTGGCTCACAACGATCTCAGCCGTGGAGACGTGGATTTGCACAGGAGGATTCACATAGTTAATGTCAAACTGCACAAAGTGATTTGTTCTGTCTCCAAGTTTTCCCATCACAGTGAGCCCTTTAGTACCATTGACACAAATTTGTCAGTGACTGTGCTTTTAAGGTACAAGTGATCTTAATAGAACTGCTGCAGAACCAACTTCAGGGTCTCAAATCTAGTTTTGGGAGACACTACATCATGAATTTCAGCTCCATGTGCTCCAAGGCTGTGGTGGGGTCACCAGAGTCTGTTTAACCCCATATTGCCACCTCCTGCATAGAGGTGTCTCTGTTCCACAATCAGAGCAGGTGACTGGGGCCCGGGGCCATGGCTCCTCCAGGTACAGGACCACAGGAAAACTGCTGTGCATTCAGAGCATGCACCTTTCTGTTAGCACACAGGGACCATGGGGTTTAAGGTCTCTGCATCCTCCAAAGCCCTCAAGGGCTGGGCAGCAGAAACTGCTGAAGATCACGGATATGATACCAGGATGAGGAGGTTACCTGCAGCCAGACCTGGGAGAAGTGCTTTCAACTATTGCACCATGGAAGTTAATATTGACTAATAGAAAGGCAAAACTAACCACAGTCTCTCAGTCAGTGCAAGGCAGCAGGTTTGACACGGCCCTTCACAAGAGGGAGTGATTCCCAAAGATCCCAACTGCTCTCACAGACCAAATGAGTCTCCTTGTCTTTGGTATCAGAGGTAACCTGGCTCACTCACCTTGCTCTGGATCTGACAGCAGGTGGACAGAGGGTTGTCCTTTTCTGTCAATATTTAAACAGATTCTTTCCTTTTTTTTGGGTAAATGCAAGAGAAGCTGTGAATTTTCATTGCCTGAAAAGACAGAAAAACAATATCAGCATGCCACAAAAAAGCCCTCTAGCCTGTGCCCTTTGGATAGGCACAGAAAATTCCATATTAAATTTATAACTAAAACATTAGTTATAGATTTAATAGGACAGAATGACTAAAAACAGAGTAACAATCATTGGAAAGCACACTCAGACACAGCACTTATATATGAATGAAACCAACAGATTTTTAAATTTAGATTTTACTGAGGACTATGAGCCCTTGAAAAAGCTGAGGCTGAAGATCTTTTGTACTGCACTTCTCTTCATGGTTATATCTTCAAGCCAGAGAGGCTTTCTCATGGGATACAGGAATATTTTCCACTTAAGTGGAAAGAAGTAGCCAAGGTTTGCGAGAAGAAGTGAAAGGTTTTCATAGAGTTGATGCAATCAGAAAAAGCATTGTTGTGTGAAAAAGTGCACATCACAGTTATATTAGTAATTAAATGGGACTAGGATATATATCACTTACCAAGAGGTTGTGCTCTTAGATTGCCTCTTAGCCTGGCAACTGAAAGACCTAAAATTAGTAGGAAGAATTTAATGAGACATTTTTCTCTAAGTCAGCTAATTAACCAGGAGGAAGGCTGTGACAGAAGCCTTTTAGCAGAGCTCTGCACTAACTTCTGCAGAGAGCTTTTCTTAAAACAAAATGTCCCAATGGGGGAAAACCAGCACATTATCCAGTGCCTATTTGTGTTAGGATGGACTGTGCCATGGGGACACACTCAGCTGGAGCTGCAGCAGTGTTTACAGCTGTGCTTTCAAGGGCTGCTGCACAGCTCTGAACCAAGCACATCATCTTCTCTCCTCTCACACACCACTGTGAGTGGTTACCTGCTGAAAGCACCTTTCACATGCCAGATTTGGGCTCAGAGCTCAGGTGACCTGAAATGCAAGGTTTTTCCAATGCTCTGGTGGTTTGGTGTCTCTCCCCACCCTTTGAAACAGGGACTGCCTCCTCCTTGTTGCCTACTGATTATATTGGATACCCCATTACTGGTAAATGTTTGGTTTTTTTGCACCCATTTCCTTCACCTTACTAATATGTACATTTCCAGACCTTTCACATTTATTTTCAGGACCAAAATTGTTTTCGAAAGTGTATAGTTCATTATAAAATGCCTGTGGACCGAAATACAACTAATAAAAACTACATTGTATATTGAGTGGACATCCCCAGTCAAAAGGTATTTATGAATGTTGCTGTGGCCCTACATGTAAAATGAACTTTATAGGGTTATTCTGGATAAGAATAGAAGAGGAGCACTTACTAGGAGCTGGTCTTCTCAGTCTATAAGGATCTGGAGAAAGAAAAGAGAGTATCTGTAGTTTATTAATGGTTGTATCACATACCTTGCAGGAGTGTTTCAAACATCAAATCTGAACTCTCCAGCTGCATGTGTCTTCCTTGCCCCTGAGCAGCTGTGCCTGCCTGACCATCACACCAGGGCTTGGCAGCAGTTACAGGAACAGACTGTACTGCAGAGGTGGCCCCAAACTCTTCTCCTCTTGCATCCAAAAGGAGCTTTGAGGGAAGCACAGTGCCAAGCCCTGGAGCCCCAGAGAGGGCAGGATGGTCCCTGGGCTCTGCTTCTGGTCAGAGAGTTCTCTGCTGTTAAGCTCCACAGCACCTCTTTGAAAGAGGCAACCTCTGGAGCACAGGACAGCACTGTGACTCCCTCAACACATTCCTGTGAAAGAACTGGAGCAAAACCAAGGCTCTTCACCTATAAAATTTATATTCAAGTAAATTCTAATTCCAGAAAGAGAGGAAGAAAAATACCTAAAGTGTCCTCAGAAGCCATTCCAGGAAATCCTGGAAGATCCTTCAGACATGTGAGGAAGAAGAAGAAAACATCTTTAACACCATTCACTGGAAGAACTACTTTTCCACAGGGGCAAAGATGATTTTGAACTTTGAGACTTTCTGAATGGAAAAGTTTCTCCCTTTGACTGTGTTATCCACCCAAGTCCTGCACAGATTGTGGCAGTCGTTGCTTATATTTTGCTTCACGTAATTTTCCAAATCTCAAATACTTCCCCCTATAGAACAACCACCATGATCTCTTTTTTTTTTTTTTTTTGGGTCAGTTTGTTTTTTTTCATTAGAGACTATTATGGAAATATGCTACTGGAAAAGAGGAAAACATTTACCTGGTACTGGAGGTCTTCTGGGCTTCTCATTGTCTAACACAAGGAAAAGCGACAGGTTAGTGTCATCGAGTCAGCACTAAATGATTTTATCCACCTGCAAACTAGCAAACTGGGACAAGGGGGTGTTGGGCTATGATGAGCTGGTCTGTGCTACAGGATGGGTAGAGAGAGCACCTGCAAAAGTCCCAGCAAGGCCATGCTTTCCCCACACATTCATTGATCCACTTCAGTGCTGTGGAAAGTGTGGATCCCCTTTGCATTGGCAGGAATGTGATAGTAACAACTATTAGATTAGCTTTAGTTAATGTTCTAACAAATTGTTTTCCATTTCAATACAAGTGCCCATTTCACCTTTCCAAAGAATCCTGTAAGTTTTATTTTGAAAGAAGCTAATCCCTAATGACAAGTCCTCTGAGGTGCCTTGTTACCATGTCACATGAGTGTCAAATGAGCCCATAGTGAAGGTGACCCACAAATCCCCAAGAACAGCAGTGTTTCAGGGGGACTATTTTGTGCTGTTTACCAGACTCAGTGGGTTTGTTTGCCAGCTCTGCCTGCTCCTGGTCACTGGGTTTGGTGACCACCATGGAAGTGAGGGGTGTAACAAAGCTGTACTGCAGAGACAGCTCCAAGGCTTGTGACTCCAGAGTCTTCTGGTCCTCTTCTTGGGCTGAAATACTAAAGTATGTGTTAATGATGAAGAAATAACATATAGAGACTATGAGTAGGTTGTCTTCAGATTCCTTTACGTATTAGCTGTGTCTTAATGGATCCTTTTAATTACTGGGGGGTCAGTAGTCTTACTGGGATAACTCGGCTCTTCGTGTGCTTGGAATTCTGGAAATGCTTAATCCTTTGCAACACTGGAGCCTAGGTGTGATTCAAATACATAAAAGGAATAGATACACCACCTGTGAAATATCTTTTGGACATGCATATTGTTCTATTCACTAGCTATTGCCATTTCCTTATCTGCAGACAGTATTTCTGGATGTGTGACAGCACCTCAACACAATCCAAGCAATTAAAATCAATTTCATAGTAGTGTCATGAGGAATAGTGCATCTATATATACACACACATTTAATGATGCAGTGTTACCCTAAACTGAGAGGCACCTCAAGCTCATCATGCAGTAATGCAGCATTCTTCCAGTATACTATGGGTTTGATACTATCTGGAGAAATATTTCTGTTTCTTTGTGTTTTCTGATCATGTAATTCGTGAGTAAGGAATTTGTGTTTAAAGAATTTAGAAATTAATTGTATGAAACATTCAAATAACTTACGCTTTTTCCAGAAGCTGCTGAATGGTTAAGTAAGCCCACAGTCTCTCTATGAAATTTCCAAAGATGTATGTTTGGTTTTGGAATACTTGCTCCTTCTCTTTGACATTTGCTTCTTCTTTAAGAGTCAAGTCACTGGTGTGCTGAAGTGTGAGAAAACTGACCATCAAAAGAACAGTCCCAGACTTCAGTTTGAGCCATATTATTACATCTAAAAGAACATCTTTCAGTACCGAAGTGCCCTTTTTGTCCTTCAGTTTTGTCCCTGCCCATTGGAAAATGCAACTCCACACTCCCGAAGCAGCATGTATTTTGGATATGTCTACTTCTGGACTTGAAATAATGTTGAAAAAAGGAGGTAAACCAAGTTGTTTATTTTAACATTTTTAAGAAGAATAATGGAGATTTCCTTCTTCATTGTATCAATGTAAACCTAAACATGCTTGAAAGGTCAACATGCTGTGGTTTTGGAAGGCCTGAAATTGCTGTTTGCTTATTTGTGGATATTCTTCAAGGTTTTGCTTTTGTAGTGAATTCAGGACAGGGAAATTGTTTGAATTCTCAAATAATTGCCTGAAATGGGAAAACAGCTGAATGCCCAAATGTAGAGAACATATACTGAGCACAAAGCACTTCTGGAAGTTTCCTGTTGCACCACAAAAGACAGAAGGGAGAGATCTTTTCAGAGTTAGTAAACAAGTAAACACTTACTGACTCAGCTTTAATTTCTACTGGCAAAAGATCCAACTCATTGCTAATTTTTCCAGACACTATAATTTCTGATCCTTCAAAAAACAGTGGGAAATTGTTCTTGGTTAAACCCTCAACAGCATTTTCTGGATACTGCATTTCAATTTTCGTCAATATTGGGGTAGCCACCTCTTCATAAAAGCCCTAAGGAGAAACAGAGAGGGAACACATACAAATGACTGCAACATTATGCAAAGCAACATGCTGACTGTCTAAAACCCCCTTAAAAACCTTCTTCAGCAGTGATAGACTATTGCAAACTTAGAAAAAAAACAAGGTTCAGCACAACTTCTCCAGCCAGGCTGGCCATGCCATAAAACTGTATTTCCCATGGACTTTCAAGTACCCAGGCAGTGTCCCCATTGTTACCATCCCTTGGCTTTAGTGGCTTTTGCCACTCTTCACATCTGACTTTTAAAACTTAAGAAGATTCATCTTTCTCTTTCTGGGCTGGGGCTGGCACTAAGCAAATCCAGTCTCTGCACACCCATCCAGAACAGGGAGAAGTGGCTTCTCAAAAGATAAGAGACAGTCCCAAAAGTTAGAAACCCTCTACCAGATGGACCAGGAAGACCCAGACTGGTGGAACTGCACAGACAGTTTACCTGGAGTTGCCCCAGGCTACCTAGAGATTTTTAGGGAAACCAGAACAGCTTCCAGTGGTGGTACCTCAAGTGGCTTGAAATCAGACCTGAGAACAGAAGTTCTTCTACTATCACTTCTCCTGGACAACTTGTCTTTTTGCTGAAGTGTGTGAGTTTCCAGGTGTGTCTGAATGCAGATGGTTTGATGAGGACTTTGAGTCATGGTCAGGGTACAAACCTTCAGATACCCCAAAATTGCCTTCCTCCCTCTCCAAAATTAACACGTAAACTTTAACCCCAGGTTTTATCTCAGAAAATCTATGATTTTGATGCAAGGACTAGACATAAGCTGTAGCTGATAAATGGTTTCTCTGGCACATTCCTTACTCCTGACCTGGAGCTGCAAGGCTGCGTCAGCGTTTTCATATATACGACGCGCTATTCCCCCGTTGCTTAGGGCCATTTTCTCCAGGAATTTATAACTGACATCAAACCCAAAGCCAAGGCAGAAAAGAGCGTATTTCCCATTGATTTCTTTCTGGATGTTTTCTTGAATGACTTCCACTTTTGTCTCACCTGCAATAGGAAAAAAGCATACCACTGGGGGTTTGGGTTCTCTTAAGTACAGAAAACTGCAGCAGGTTTAATGGAAAATACTGCTGAAAGTTTTTAAAAATAATTCAGAATAAAATATTAAAAAGATATGAGACAGAATATTGTTAATGGAATTGGAGATGAAAGCACCACTCTACGTATGGAGTGTCAGAATGTGACTTCTACTACCTTCTACTCATGTTGTGGCAAAGTGTAAAATGTTATTGGAGGGGCCAGAGGAGGTTTTGGGGACAGAAGGGACACACTACAAGTTAACAGTGCGAGGGATGGATATACCTCATCAAGTGTTGTGAAGACAAGCACCATCCATAAAAATTGTGTGCCATTTCAGAGCAGAATGGATTGGTTAATGGTGCAACTCCAACAAACTGCAGATGAGCTCAGCCTTGCTCCTCTTAGCCCCTTTGCATGACAGATTTTCACACCATCATCTGATCCCAGTTTAGAGCCACTGATGGCTGTGTGTGGAGAACATCTCCATCAGCATTTCTAGGCAGGAACTGTCACTACCTGTAGTAATATCGTGGGAGCAGCTTAGATTTGTCCCTTTCAGCTGCTGTGCCAAGGAAGGCAGTGTATGCAATAACACCTGCTGCTCCACCCTGTCCTGATTTCTAACTGCTGGATGTGCAGTGCCCTTGGGAGCATGGGAGACTCACTGTGGCTGTGCTGAGCAGGCAGCACCGGGGGCTGAATTTTATTAAAAACCCCAACAGATAAACCAACCCCAAAGCAGTAGGGCTCACAATATCCCACAGGCAGACTGGTCTTATCAGAGGGCTTCCAGCTGACTTCATATTGCTGGTCTGGAGAGATGCTGGTGTCACACAAAACTTGGACAAACTCCTGCTCAGAGTGAGGGACATTTGTGCAACTGCATTGGTCTTATTTCACCCAATATTGCTCTCTCTCAACCCTCTGGTTTGTACTGTCACAGGTGATCACTTGTTAAGAGCTACACATGGGTAAGAATACAAAACAAGAGGCACCTTGAAAATATCTGAAGTTTGAGGCAAGGAGAGTGAAGAAACATAAGCAATACCTCTGACATCAGACCGTGCATAGTATATGCCAAACGTAAATGCTTTGTCTCTAAATATTTTACTTTTGTATTTCAGCTGTGCCTGGAGTATCTCCAACAATTCCCTGGAGTTTATAAACTGGGAAGCAAATGGTATTTAGCAAAACAATTCCCAGCTAAAGAATGTGCAGTCATGGGCAGGTAGGATCTGCCATCAGTCCTTACACCCTTGGCAGAGCTCTCTTTCATACTCTCCCTCTCCACATCCAGCGGGAGCTCAGCCTGCGTATTCCAAAGCTCTTCCAAAACGCAGGCTGTGCCTAGCAACATCTGGGATGCAAGTGCAAAAGATAAAAAAGTCCAGAGGAGAGAGCAGTGAGATCAGTATTTGCTCACCAGAAGTGGGCTCGCCATCTGTCAGCAAAATAATCATGGACACGCTCCGCTCTCGGCTCTCGGCTCTCCCCAGCATGCGCACAGCAGTCAGCAGGGCACGATTGATGTCTGTGTCTGTGATGAGAAAGCAGACATCCCTCACTGAAATAGGATCATCATCTGAAGAAATGGGTGCTCTTCATCTGCAGAGGCCCTGCAGAGTCGTTTAAAGTTTTCTGCAGAAAGTAATCCTTCCAGGAGATGAGGATTTAGGGGTTTAGCCTACTGGGCCTAATTGCAGTGTAGTATATTGCAATGGCAATTCCAGAGTATTCTTTTGGGAGCATTTTCCACACATATGTCATGGGAAATACAAACATGTCTAGAGCCATTAAAAAGTGCTTAAATCCACACACTGTCTTCTCTTACCCTAAGTTTCCCTGCCTTGTTTGAGTCAGAGAGGAGAGCTGTGCATGGGTGGACTCATGGGTGGTAGTGTCTGAGGTCAGACAACCTGTGTTAGTACTAACAACAGAACAGTAACAGGGGACAGAGCCCTTGAGATGTGCTTAAAACTAAGCAGTAACACCAAGCACACTGGCTGCCACAGAAAGTGAAATGCCACGTGCCTGTTTTGTTTCTGCGGTGTGGCTTACACGGGAGTATAACTTTGGATGTGCTTTATTTAACAAGGGGACCGTTGATATTAAAAAAATCAGCAAATTGCGGTCCAGTGTTGAGTGAATTGACATTTTTCTGTGGGGAAAAAAAAAGTGATATCAGGGAATCTTCCAGTTACATCCGTGATAACAATTTGAACCAAAACTTTGTGGCTTGTATGGTTTATAGATGTGATATAGCCATCTTTATAAGTATCTGTATGCCTCATGATGTAGACACCAGTCCATCCACTCCCAGCCTTCCTCTCCCACTTAGCACTCCTGAGTATTAAAACCTGTCTGACTTGCTTTGTAAGCACTGGTGGTAGTTATGAGGCAATATATAACTAATCAAAACAATTCTTTTCTGAGCAATGCATTATAGTGATAGATGTTTGTGGTTACAAGAGTGTGGGTTGTGCCTTGTACCTCCCCTAGCAGAAAGAGTCTGCACAAATGCTGCAGCACTGGCCACGTTCTCTGCAGTGGCTGGCAGCAAAGAGCTCTTCCACTGGGCCACTCTGCTGGTGAAGGTGATAAAGTTGAAGTGATCTTGAGGGTGAAGGTCTTGCAAAATCTTCAGCAGGGCATCCCTCGTCTGTTCCAAGGAGAAAACAATCACTTTGAATATTCATACTTCTCTGCCACTGGGATTGGAATTGCAATCTGATAAGTGGATTCTCTACAGTGCTGTTCAGGTGCAATCCAATGCCTTAATTTAGCCCTGATGGTATTTTTTTGGGTTGAGACCCTCAGAAATGGCCAATTCACTTGAATTAACAGACACAAAAACCCCCTAGGAGGGCTGTAGAGGGCTCATCTCTCTCTATTAGAGCTACATATATAGTCATCAATAAACATAAAACAGATAAATTAACTCTTTAAGTTTCATTAAAGAAAAAAAATTGGCGCAAAATATTCTGCAAAGATAGAGGAAAAAAAACCCCCTCTCTGCCCTATTGTTTGCATACTCATGAGAGGAGCTGTGTCAGACAAACATTGCTCTTTGGTAGCTTCAATCTGTGCATATGTGTTTTCAAGCATTTGTTAGTTTGAACATTTCTCTGTGTACAAACCCAGTGTGTGTTTCAAAAGAGAAATTCCCAGTTGCTTCCTCAGAAGGTTGGGGGCTGTGCCCGGGTGCAAACAGACCTCAGTGCTTGGAGGGAAGTTACCTGGCTGATTTTTGTGCCTCCCATGGAGCCACTTCGGTCTATAACAAAGACAATATTTTTGGGAAACACTGGCATCTCGTGGGGTGCAAAGTAATGCACAAAATATCCATTGACAATCTGAAATACAGAATGTGAAATTGCCTATAAAGTTACTTCTAAAGAAACAAATAGTACATTTTACCATTCTGGCATGGCAGGAAGGAGGAGGCATGCTCAGCATTCTGCTCTTCTTGATAAGCCCAAATCAAAGAACTTAAATTAAATGAATTAAAATGCATTTCCTAGCTGGAAGTGAGAGTGTGTAGAGAATGAATTACAAGAGAACAGCATACATACATATATAAAAATATATATGCTATATGGCTCAGTGCCACATGCATGATGTATGTGTATGATCACCATGTATCACATCACCTGTTTATCACACCTACGAGCACAGATCTGCTCATGGACTGTGGCTGCAATCTTTTAGTACATCCATGTACACTTCGTTAGTGAAATGGTATGGAAAATCCTGTACTTTATTCCCTAGAATAGGTAGTGGTCCATAAAAATTTGCTAAGTTCCTGCTGTCTCTATTTATGCCTCAGTTATCACCAAACCCACAAGCAAACCAAGCAGTCATTTTAGCAGGTATATACATCACTCTAAACTTAATTTATGAGAAGCCAAAAATACACCTTAGCTCAGCCAAAATATTAATATTAATAATAACATCAACAATAACATCATCATCAACAACAACAACAATTATAATGAATGCAAAAAAATATCTAGGAACTACCAATATAGATTTGATATTGAAACAAGATTTGAAAGATTGATTGTTTTTCCTGGGTAACCCATTCTTGCAATGGTGTCTCAGGGGATTTACCAG